TCAATGGGAGAAAAAGAGAGAGAGAGAGAGAGAGAGAGAGAGAGAAAGAGAAAGAGAGAGAGAGAGAGAGAAATGAATATGAATTAAAAAATGACGTAGAAAAGAGGAATTATGAGAGAGAGAGAGAAAGAGAGAGAGAGAGAGACGAACATGCAGACAGACAGACAGACAGACAGAGACTTCTTTCTTTATATGTGCCGTGTCCTTTCAGGACGTAGGCGATCATGGATCTCCACCTCCTTCTATCCCTTGCAGCTCTCAACAAGTTCCTTCTCTCTGCTATTTCCCCCAGACCACGTTCTGTCATCCCCTTGCTTAACCCCACTAGGTATTTCATTGTCTCTCTTTCCCTCTATTCGACACGTGAGTATCAGATTCTCTGAATCCATCTTTTCTACCCCCATCTATTGGTTAACACAATAGGAATTGTATGAATAAACCATTATTACCCCTAAAACTTCTTATGATCTAAAATAGTTTTCTAGATTTAAATAACCTTCAAAGGGTTGATAAACCGTAAAAAAACAAATCAAATCAAGTCTATGCAGGTTTCTCTTTTTGGACTGTTCGCGGAAAGAGCTTTGAGGGATTACTTTCTTACTGCGCTTAAATACTGTTAAAATATCTTGAATCTGTCAATTTTGGATTGGCCGATGACAACTCCATGTTAAGAAAGACCTTGTGTTACATCTTGCCACAGTAGAGAGTAAATAACCGTGCCTTGGAGCTGGGCTCAAATTGGTGTATCTATTCTTCATTCTATTTGGGTAGTTCACAGAAGAATTTTCAGAGATCCTGCATTAGCACCTCTCTCAAAGCACTAAAAGCCTGAGAGTTGGTGAATCATGATAATGGTTGCGTGGACTAGGCAATTTTTGTTCTTGGGCTATATGTACGCACATAAGAACCGCCACATTAAAAATGACCTTGTGCCACATCCTGAAACCAATGCTCATTTACCCGGTCTGAGATCAAATTGTAGTATATGTTCTCTCTTCATCTTAAACTTATGAGAGAAGTTTAGAAGATTTTAAACCTGAAGCAGCATCTCTTCAAACATAGAGAATTGGTGGATATCGTCCTCGGTGTAAAGCGCATCGTGTCACGTACACCCCAGGGAAAGTTGGTAAAAAAGCGGATCTTTACCAGGCTTTCAAGCTAGGATCAAACTGTAGTACCTGCTCTCCTGTATACCGTGTTTCTGCCTTTAAGCATATTTCGATTCGCAAATGAGGGATACCTAATCCGGTGATTCCAAAGCCGCGGTTAAATATCTTCCCTCATTGCGTTAACGAATAAAAAGTTTGAAGGATACTGACGTCAATTTGATAGCTATTGTGGGGACTGGGTAACGTTTGTCCCTTAGTCGTGTGTCATCGTGTGTGCGTTCTTCCCAGGATAAAGCTGTTGTTTCCAACCTTCCGACTCGGACCAGTATTATGCATGTGCGTTCACCCTTAATTAAATTATCTCTCCCTAACCCTCTGCCTAGGATCAGTGAAGTAACACTGTGTCCTTCCTGGGATCAAAATATCGCTCCCCAGTCCTCCCATTAAGATCAGGGAAGTGTCTGTGCACCCTGCTTCGGATAAAATCATCGTTTTCCGGCCCTCTGAATCTGTTCGCACTTCAAGCTGTGATCAGTGAAATATCTGTGATCTCTGCCTAGGACCAAATCATCGTTCTCCGGTCTTTGGGTCTGTGATTAGTTTAGTATCTTTGCTCCGTTTCTGGGATCAAAATAGCGTTTCCCGGGCCTCTGCCTTGGATCAGTTTAGTATTTGTGCATTATGCCTAAGTTAGTATTTTCAAGTTATTTTTTTAAGCAATTAAAGCAAATCGGGAAGCCACTATCACGCAAGGGGTTACAGAGAGTTGGAGCTAGAGCAAATAGGAGTTATAGAGGAAAGGATGAAGAGAGGGATAGGGGATAGATAAGGGCATCTGGAGACGTCGATTGACATTACATTAGAATAGTTGGAGATTATAGCTATCAGAGAAACAGGAAAAGGGGGTGTTTCACAGGCGAGAGGTGCGAGACATGAAGCTATTGGAGTAGAAGAGACAGCTACATTTAGCAGTTTCGACAGTGAAAGGGTGAGAGCAAGATGCCAGCCTAGTAGAACGCTTAAATTCATGACGTTTCGGAACCAGCGAAACAGTTCATCGGATCAGTTACCATGAAAGTATTTGTAAAAAAGACAGAGGGAGATAAGAAGGAGAGAGAGTGGGAGGGGAGAGACGAGAAGGAAGAGAGGGGGGGAGATGGAGGGTTGGGGAGAGAGAGAATGTGAGAGTGAAAAGGTAAAGGAAGAAATCAAAAGAGCAAATGAGAAGGAAGGAAAAAGAAAGGGCAAAGCTATAACAAAGAAAGAAACTTAGAAAGAGGTGAAGAAAATTACAAGAGGAAGAGAACGAGGGTGAGAGAAAGTGACAGAAGGGGAGAGAGAGGGGGGGGAGAGAGAGAAAGAAAAGTACAATGAAATGGAAAAGGAGAGAAATCTAAAAAAGAAAGTTAGAAATATAAGAAACGATAAGAGAGAAAAAAAATTACGGGATCGATGTAAAACGAAGCACGATAGAAAGAAGCAATATAAGAAGACATGAAAGAAAAACAGGAAAAATATAAAGAGAAAAACGAAAAAAAAAAAGTGACAGAATCAGAGAAAGAAAAGAGATAAAGGATAAAAAGAAAGAGCAAAGGAAAGAGAAGGTTAAATAAAAAAAAAAAAGAAATGAGAGGAGGAGAAAGAACTGAAGGAATAATCGACGTATACATACAGAAAAAAGCAGACGAGAAAAATAAAGACAAGACAGTGAAAGACTAAAATTCTGTGAAATAGAGAAAGGAATTGGGAAAGCAGATGACAAATGAGAGGAAAAAATGAAAAAGAAAGAAAGAAGGAAAGAAAGAAAGCGAGAGAGAGAGAGAAAGAGAGAGAGAATTCGATAGGGTAACGAAAAGAAAGAATGAAAGCGAGAGAGAGAGAAAGAGAGAGAGAGAATTGATAGGGTAACGAAAAGAAAGAAAGAAAGGAGAGAGAGAGAGAAAGGAGAGAATTCGATAGGGTAACGAAAAGAAAGAAAGAAAGAAAGAAAGCGAGAGAGAGAGAGAAAGAGAGAGAGAATTCGATAGGGTAACGAAAAGAAAGAATGAAAGCGAGAGAGAGAAGAAGAGAGAGAGAGAATTCGATAGGGTAACGAAAAGAAAGAAAGAAAGCGAGAGAGAGAGAGAAAGGAGAGAATTCGATAGGGTAACGAAAAGAAAGAAAGAAAGAAAGAAAGCGAGAGAGAGAGAGAGAATTCGATAGGGTAACGAAAAGAAAGAAAGAAAGAAAGAAAGCGAGAGAGAGAGAAAGAGAGAGAATTCGATATGGTAACGAAAAAAAGAAAGAAAGGCAGCGAGAGAGAGAAAGTGAGAGAATTCGATAGGGTAACGAAAAGAAAGAAAGAAAGCGAGAGAGAGAGAAAAAGAGAGAATTCGATAGGGTAACGAAAAGAAAGAAAGAAAGCGAGAGAGAGGGAGAAAGTGAGAGAATTCGATAGGGTAACGAAAAGAAAGAAAGAAAGAAAGCGAGAGAGAGAGAGAAAGAGAGAGAGAAAGAAAGAGAGAGAATTCGATAGGGTAACGAAAAGAAAGCATTGTTGAAGTCTTATGGCATATGGTCGATTATCGCTCATCGCAAAGTGATTGTAATTTGAGATTTTATGCTAAATCGTGTCTTCCTGATTTCGTCTGACATTTGGACTGCTTTTTCACTTCCGTTAATCTACTGATGAACGCGAAATAATCTTACATTTATCTGTGAAGCAGCAATTTATTCCATCACTAGCACAAGTGAAACATCTATCTATCTATCTATCTATCTATCTATCTATCTATCTATCTATTTGCATATATATATATATATATATATATATATATATATAGAGAGAGAGAGAGAGAGAGAGAAAGGGGAGAGAGAGGAGATATTAGTCAGAAATGTATCAGCATAGATAAGTTAATTTTAACCTGAGAGACATATCTGCATATATATATATATATATATATATATATATATATATATATATATATATACATACATAGATAATACACTGATATATATTAACAATGATAGACAGATTTAGTTTTAACCTGTGACAGACGACAGACATCTGCATATATATATATATATATATATATATATATATATATATATATATATATATATGCAGATGTCAGTCTCAGATCAATAAATCTATCTATCAATGTTGATACATCTCAGAGTATTATCTATCTATCCATCTTTTTACATACATATATATATATATATATATATATATATATATATATATATATATATATATATGATTATTTATTTAAAAAATATGAGTCTAAATCGCGACATAAGAAATCTCATGTTTCAAAACAAGAGCCGAAAACTTCAATATAATTATTTGAATTAAATTGAGTTAAAGTAAGCTCTGTTCCATCTTCAAGCGAATTTTTTTTGGGAATAACGTATTTCTGAAATTTACGCGTTTTAATAATTGAAATCAAAATTTCCATGGTAACAGCTAGGGCGAATTGTTTAAATTGGGTAAGCGTGTGTTGGGTGTTAATAATAAGTATCAGTATAGAGTTACTTTCATAGATGTCAAGTCAGGGAAAGGTGGGAGTGTCTAAATTTTAAACGGAAGATGTATTAACCCTCGTCTAGTTTGCGTGTCTATGGAGATTTATTTCATTTTTTATTTTATTTTTTTTTTATGAAAGGGATTTGTGCATATAAAAAAACCGTCGTAACGTTTGTTTTTTGACGACTTCATAAAGGGTTATTTTTTTTGTAGGGTATTTAAACTATTTATTTGGGCTATGGATTATGAAAGATGTTATATTGTATGCTTGTTTTTAGCTAATTATTCAAACCATAAATCTGATGATGTCGACAAAAAACCGTTAACTCGTGTCTATTGTTTAATAGATTATTATTCTTTAGAAGCTTAATAATGCACAATTTCACATGGAGGCACAAAGGGCATGGGTCATCCCAAGTTTTACATGTTCTAGCCTTGTTTAATTTTTCCATTTTACTTTAGGTGTCCTATTTGTTTCCTTCAGAAGCCAAAAATATTTAGATAGGGAAATCTGATTCTTTTGTTTATATTATTGAAAGAGCACTTATGCTGCCTCCATCTATCTTTAAAATCATTCTTCGTGGACCCAATGTATATCATATTAGTGCTAGGACTCTCTGGATGATATAGTACATTAGTATACCACAGATTTAATGCAGCATTTATTTTCTAATGGGCAGTCTTCTAGGTTTCTACAGTTACATAATTTTTCCCTTTTATTGTCTGATTTAAGTGCTGGTTTTTTATTAATACTGTTTAGGCATGGGGGTTTACTTCAAGGTCTTATTATTGTGTTTTTTTATTATACGTTCAAGATTTTCAGAGCAGCTGTAACTCAATTTTAGGGTGTTCTTATTGAATATATTACTAAGCTTACTATTGGTGGGGAAGTGTTTATCAATTATATATATATATTCATCGCTCTTCCAGACTTCTATGTATCTATCTATCTATCTATCTGCAGATATATCTCTCAGGTTAAAATCAATCAATCTATCTATCTATGCTGATATATCTCTGACTACTATCACCTCTCTCTCTCTCTCTTTTCACACTCTCTCTCTTTTTTCACTCTCTCTCTCTCTTTTCACACTCTCTCTCTTTTCTCTCTCTCTCTCTCTCTATATATATATATATATATAGCACTCTCAGTTTATTCATATCTATCTATCTATCTATCTATCTATCTCAGCCTTTTCTTCCTCGACTTTTCGATTTCTTTCTGAATCACTTAATGCTCCATTTTATTATAATCAGATGATTGCCCGTCGTACTCCTCGCTATTTTTCCTGGACAATTTACCTGATGGCATCCACTGACATCACCACTTCCCCAAGAAAAATGCTGTAATAACAATCCCAATAGTTATTTTATGGATATATTAAAAATGCATTCTCCTATGTTTCTGCCTTAAACCGGAGGGTGGAGGGAGGAGAAGAAGGAGGAGGAGTGAGGAAGGAGGGAGGGAGGAAATGCTGAAAAGTCGACGTGTACTAAAAGATCGATTGATTCTGTTGCATTAAATTAAAGCCGATGTCATTTTTTTTTCAAAAGTCAAATATTCTTAAATATAAGTAGGCCTTCGGGGTATGTCTGATTATCCTTTTTCTTTTTACCTGCTGGGGAACTGCATCTTTCTCTGTTTCTTTCTCTTGGATTCGAACAACAGAAATTGAATTAGCATTTATTTTATATAAACAAAACAATTTTCTTTTCGTTCGTACTGGAGATTTGATTTTGCATTCAAAAGTAATTTTCCTCAATTCATGAACCTCTGTTGACATCGATGCAAACTAAATTCATAAGTAATGACGACGAATGCTACGATTCTTGATAGAGAAAAAGAACTAATAACAACGGCTTTAAAGATCATCATCTAATATTGAGTCCATTGGCCAGAAATGGAATCCTGCTTTTAACTGTTGCCATGGGTTCAGAGACAATGGTAACCCTTTTCATTGTTGTTATATATATATATATATATATATATATATATATATATATATATATATATATATATAGTGATTTTTAAAGCGCAGCTAAGATCAGGCTCAATTTAAATTTATGGGGCACTATGTAAGGAACGAACTCACTACTCAGTCGTAACTGATCTAGCAAACAAGCTTTCTAACGATTACACCATGTCGAGGTACCCCGCGTCAAGGCATATATAAAACTCAAGTAAATATGCTTCATTATAACCTAATAGTTTTTTTTCTTTCTAATGTAAACGGTAAAGTTGTCTCCCTTGCCCTGACAAATGTCTCACTTTGGTTGTGATAGAATTACCTTCCTTGAATTGAGGATTTATTAATATATAGAAATATTAAAAATTCTCAATTGAAAGCAAGTAATTGTAAAGCTTAAAGAAACACTCCCCTTCGGTAAACCTGTATTTCCATATTACACGTTGTTATTCCGAGCGGTAATCACAGTTGCTTGTCTATATATTCTGAGATGAGGCACTATGTACACTATTTACATTATTCGGACTATTGTCCGCATCTTTGTCGCCATATTTATTACAACGTTTCGGCCTTTCAGTATCTGTCTATATTTCTGAGATGAGGTATTATGTACACTATTTACATTATTCGGACTATTGTCCGCATCTTTGTCGCCATATTTATTACAACGTTTCGGCCTTTCAGTATCTGGCTATATTTCTGAGATGAGGTATTGTGTACACTATTTACATTATTCGGACTATTGTTCTCATCTTTGTCGCCATATTTATTACAACGTTTCGGCCTTTCAGTATCTGTCTATATTTCTGAGATGATCTATTATGTACAGTATTTACATTATTCGGACTATTGTCCTCATCTTTGTTGCCATATTTATTACAACGTTTCGACCTTTCAGTATCTGTCTATATTTCTGAGATGATCTATTATGTACAGTATTTACATTATTCGGACTATTGTCCTCATCTTTGTCGCCATATTTATTACAACATTTCGGCCATTGTACGCTCCGGTCCTCTTCAAGAACACATGGCACTGTGGATGAAGGCGTTGGTTAGATCCAGTGACAGGACTCAGTGTGAGTTCAATACCCGGTTGAGACAATGGAGATCTTGGAGAGGAGAATTAACAGGAGATAACTGATAACTGACATCCATTAAAAAAACATGGCACGTGGAACTAGAACAGTCTACACCTCTACTACAGTTGCTTGTTAAACAATAATACAGTTAAGCTTTTTTCAGTTTCCTAAAATAAATTGATATCTGTAAACACATTAGATCTCAAGATTTGAGATTATTGAAGCTTCCAAGAACATATTAATATAGAGACATTAGATGTGAAGAGCAGAGCTTATTGAAGATATCGGGTTCTCATTAATATAAAAATCTATTGGATCTAAAGTGCTGGCCTGTTTGCAGGCCTCATGAAATCAGTAATATAAAATGACATTAAATATAAAGAGTAGACCTTATTGAAGGTTTCGCGAACTGATTGTTATGAAAATAAATTGGACTAGTGCATATTGAAAACCTCATGAACTCATTAATATAAAGATATGTTGAATCTAAAGAGTTGGGTTTATTGTAGACCCCATGAACTCATTGATATAAAAATACATTGAATAAAGTGTAGAGATTAATGAAAGCCTCATGAACTCATTGATATAAAGATATGTTGAACCTAAAGAGTTGGGCTTATTGTAGACCCCATGAACTCATTGATACAAAAAGACATTGAATAAAAAGAGTAGAGATTAATGAAAGCCTCACTAACTCATTAATATAAAAAATGGATATAAAGAATAATGCTTACTTAAGATATCACAATCTTATTAATATAATTTTTTTTATACTATTTACATTATTCGGACTGTTGTCTCCATCTTCGTCGCCATATTCACAACGCTTTGACCGTTGTAAGCTTCAGCCATTGTACGTTCTGGCCTTCTTCAGATGATTGGAATTTCGAACTTATGCCCTTGTTTTGTCTAAAGAGCTAGAGTGTTCTAGTTCCACCGTGCCATGCCTCTTCCGTCTCAGTTTATTTCCCTTTAACTCAACAGAAATATAGACAGATCCTGAAGAAGGCCGGAGC